TTGCGCTGTTGAAAGGTTTCCAATTCAAATGCTTTGAGGGTGAACGATTCCCCGAAAAAAAGTGCCATGTGATTTTGAAAAATGGAGGGAGGGCTGGTGGGGCGGCTGACACCCAATTTGTGTGCACACATCGCGTTCCAAGTCGATGCAAGCGGAGTCAAATCGGACAGCACAACAGGAAATCCGCGGACATCGGCCGGTACGCCGGCATGAACGCAGTAGAGGTGGTAGTAGACGTGGGAAGCATGCTGTCATCTCGGGTCCCACTACACAAGACCAGCATCTCAGGACGCTCCATGCAGAGGGTATCCGCCACAGAAATCACTTCATGGACCGCCGATGNGAAAAATGGAGGGAGGGCTGGTGGGGCGGCTGACACCCAATTTGTGTGCACACATCGCGTTCCAAGCCGATGCAAGCGGAGTCAAATCGGAAAGCACAACAGGAAAACCCGCCGACATCGGCCGGTACGCCGGCATGAATGCAGTAGAGATGGTAGCAGACGTGGGAAGCATGCTGTCATCTCGGGTCCCACTACACAAGGCCAGCAACTCAGGACGCTCCATGCAGAGGGTATCCGCCACAGAAATCACTTCATGGACCGCCGATGCAGACAAAATAGCTTTCGAGGGACGGCGAACGTNCATGCTGTCATCTCGGGTCCCACTACACAAGGCCAGCAACTCAGGACGCTCCATGCAGAGGGTATCTGCCACAGAAATCACTTCATGGACCGCCGATGCAGACAAAATAGCTTTCGTGGGACGGCGAACGTCCGAAAAATCACCCAGAACATCGCGATGGCCTCCGAGGCGCGTATCCTTTGCAAGGTCCCAGTCCCGCGTGCGCTTCGCAAAAGCATCACAAGCCAGCATCTCTACAGGAGAGGAAGCAGAGAAGAGGCTAAGTCTAGACTCTCGTAGGTGGTGAGACCAAATAACAAGCAACCCGGTGGTTGTGAAGTAAGCGTGGCAACAACACACAGCAGTGTGGAAGCCGCGTCCAGCACCCGCTTACCGTGAAATGCCAGCTGACGCCAAGTTTCAAGGAGTGATACAGTGGGCGGTAGCTTGCTCCTAGAGATAGATGAAGGTTCTGTCGTTGACACGCTTGTCCACGACCACGTTGAGATGGGAAAGTTGCTTGTTATTGCCGAGAGACCATCAGCAAAGGTCTGGGATGAAGTGGGGGTCCGACTTCATCTCAGGGGGTACACAGAGTAGACAATTCTAAGGGGGTAGNACAGTGGGCGGTAGCTTGCTCCTAGAGATAGATGAAGGTTCTGTCGTTGACACGCTTGTCCACGACCACGTTGAGATGGGAAAGTTGCTTGTTATTGCCGAGAGACCATCAGCAAAGGTCTGGGATGAAGTGGGGGTCCGACTTCATCTCAGGGGGTACACAGAGTAGACAATTCTAAGGGGGTAGGGGTCAGAAGGGTATACCTCCTGACCGACCCGCATCCTATCAACAATAAGGTGTACCCTATTCATGCTAGCAGCCACACTCACTCCTTAACAAACGCTTGAAACGCGACATGGCACTTCGTTCAGAGGCTGTCGGCCAATATGACTGTTTCAGGTGCCCTGCACGTAGGAATGCGTTGTGTAGTACGACCAGAGAATGATTGTGCGGAGCCCCCACGCCAGCTGCTGTCAGCTCCCGGCCGGGCCCCCCTACTGCGCATCCTACGTACGTCCCAGGAAGCCACTGCGCATCGTTATTTGATTTTAGTGTGAATCGGGGCCAAATGCCAGCAATGCAGACTTTTGGGGCACACAACTGGTTCTGCGCCCCGAAAGTTCCAGCGCAGCTTTGATTCTCGAAGATTTTTTTCATCACCACCCAGCAAGCGTCGATAGCAACACCACGCACAACGGCAGCGGACGGTGGCGCAACGGCGGGTCGCCAGCCTGGTTCATGTCTGCAGCTCCCGGGCCAGATGATGATCGCGGCCGCCATGGCAGGGCAGACAGACACAGGTCAGACAGATATGAAGCGCCAGCAAACAAGATGTTCACCTGTCACATGTGTCTCAGGCACGTGAACAGCGGCCAGAACAGGATATCTATACGGGTTCCTCCTGATCAGAATCCACACGGGTTCGATCATTTTTGTGCGGATTGCGATCGATCGGAGGACAGCCTGCAGCGACGAGTTTCGTATGATTGTCATGGCACAGTGGGCAATGTAGGCATATCTGGGCGAACGCCTAGTTCCAGTGGTGGTAGCTCAGAGAACCGGCTGCAGCAAACAACGATGTCCTCACAAGTAGCAGCGGCAGCGGCCGCTGCCGCCGCTGCCGCCGCAGCAGCAACAGCAACAACAACAACAACAACAACAACAACATCGGCAGCACCAGTCGCAGCCGCTCAAAGGCCGCCTGCAGGAGGAGCGGAGGAACCGTTCAGAGCGGCGGCGGAGGTGGGGGAGGCTGCCCATGACACCGCGGTTTCTTCAGGGCGGTCCAACACCGCAGTCGGATCTGGATCGCTTGACTTGAGAGGGCTGGGCACCACGCCAGCAGCAGGAAGAAACATGAACGGAGAGGCCATGGAGGAAGTAGAGTCTATTGGGGAGGAGGAGGAAGAGGAGGAGGAGGAGGAGGAGGGAGACGCGAATGAAGGAGACCGTGAGCGATGGTCCAACCGTGAGTTGCAAGCTGCCCTGGCGATGCAAGCTAGCAGTGTCGTGGGTCTAGCTCCCAAGGTGTACGAGGATGGTTCGTTTAGTCGCCCAGACTGGATGGCTCCAAGTTTGAAGTCGCCCAGGTCTATTGCGGCAGCGTTTAGGCAACGTTTCCCGGAAGCCCCTATATGCCGGCCGGTAGACAGCCCTGAGAAGCGTGCCTTGGCAGCGATGCAGCCGTCGGCAGCCACGGAAAAGATGAAGTCGCGAGCGATGGTTGGAGGAAGTACGAACCGGGGCCTCCTGAAGCAACTGTTGAAGGAGGCGGCCATGGCCGTTTTCGCAACAACGCACGTTGTGTTCGTTGTCTACCTACTCGAAGTGGTTTTCTTCGACGTTTTGGTCAAGATTCCGGATTTTCAGGCAAGCTTTGTAGTACATGAAATACAGCTCTGCAGACACGTTGCTCGCGCTAGGTCGCCTTCTCCAATCCACATCCACACAGGTGGGCAAGAGGAGTGCCCGACGAGAGGCCCGAGGGTAAGAACTCTTCCGTTGTATCATTCTTGTTTCAGGTAACGACCTACAGCGGGTCAACGTCCGTGAGGATGATCTGTCCTGGATGCAGGTCGAACACGTTTGTGAAGCCTCCCGGAGTATCAGGGCACGGCTGGAGTAATGCGAGCGCCACGAAGGTCAGCAGACGTCTGTGGTGTAGGAGCAAAATATCTGCATCTCAAAAAATTTACGTTGATGTTCCATATTGCAACCTTTTCTGCAACACTGCAGAGTCGTAGCTGCCGTTATAAACAGATTGTTTCCGTTCTCTCCTGTTTTTTTCCCAAAACGTCCCGGATGGTGACCGACTGTACCTACATTTTTACGTGAAGACAACAATAAATACAACAAAAAACATTTCGGCTTGCGTACTCTCCCACACGCAATCTCCCGCATTACTTTGCAGATCCGAGCGATCCCCGATGTAGGCAGGGTGGTGGTTCCATTGTCTGGCAGGTACGCCTGCCGGAATCCCAATTGCCCTCTGGTGTTGGCGAGTGCGAAGAAGGCAGCCAAAAAAAAAAAGGTGGAGGTTGCGGATGACGGGTGGGATGAGGCCACCACCCAGAAGTGGTGCCCAAACGGCGCAACCTTCACCACCCAGGACGACAGGTACGGTGATGCTTTCGATTTCGTGTGGTATTTGGGCTATAAAGTCGGGGAAGCAAGATTGTGTGTAAAAGTTGGAAATTTCGAATTCTACGGTGTATTTACGACGCCTTCACCCTCGCTTGTGGGCCATGAAATCGGCAGATACATGCAGGTGTTGCCTGAGGAGGTGGCGTTGCGTCTACCCTTCCGATATTTCAGGCAAAGTGGCTCATCAGAGATGTTGCTGGACCAAGTGAGGGCGATGGAAGGCGACCTTCAGGTGCAACCTTGTGGTACTTCTCTTCGTTGTTTTACGCTTTGAGGAATCGTTCTTTTTTTCCCTCGCGAGTATCGCTGTGACAGATGTGGCCCCCTGACAGGTGTTCGTCCGCCGTCTACATCCTGTCCATTTTTTTTGCCGTTGCTTTCTCCGGCCGCAAAGGTGTATCGCAGGGCGTTAGCTGCAGGCGACCAAGGTCGGGAGTTGAGAGACATGAGGAGATACATGTCGTTTGCCGAGAAGCACGGGGATGGAAGTTTGTGGCCAGGGTGGAAGTTCGTTCGCGGGACTCTCGTCGGCACCCCGTCCGTCGCCGTGTTGAACACAATCTACAACGCCGGGCATGATGAGGTGAGGAGGAGGAAGACGTTGCTAGTAGATGCCACGCATGACTACTTCGTCGCCACTGTTTTTTTCTGTTGCTTCCTCGGGTGTTGGTGCTCCTAGGTTTTCAGTTTTTTTTGGTTCCGGCAAGGCCATGACCACGATGACGCATTTTTGGCTGGAACAGGAAAAGGACTACATGAGGCGCGTGATTCAAGCCGAGTGCGAGGGCCAAATTGTCAACATGGATGGCACGTGGCGCATCGGTTTGAGGGTGCCTGGAGTACCCGCTTGCCTTTATTTCTTGTTGGGGGAGAACGCCAAGGTCCACGACTACGGAGCTATCACAAGCGAAAGCAAGTCAGAGCTCCGTCCACTTTTCATGAGGTGCGCTGTCTTGAAGTTTGGTGCCAAACAAACGGTCGTGCCTCTGTCGAAAGCTATGATTGATGGGTATTTTTTGTTCATTGGGTATTTCCCGAAAGAATCGACCTCCTGTTGAGCCTTGGTTTGTGTGCCGCGAACAACGCCGCAGGTACGCGGATAGACGAAGGCGGAACGGCACGTTGCCCACACTTCAGTACCTGTACGACGACATGTGCTGCAAGAACGCTGTGGACGTGACGGAGCCATGGATGAAGTCGATTTTCACGGGCTTGTCGCGAGCGGCGCTTTCAGATTCTTTCCACTTCGGACAGGTACAAAATTCCTTCATGACGTTGCAACAGGAGGAAATGTTGATGTTTTTAATCGTTGTTCACTCATTCGTTTGATAGCGCACCAGACATCGTACTGAAGGTCTCCTTCGTTTTGCATCCCATACGTCGTACCTGAACCACTTTTTTGCCCCGTCGCGTGCATCCCCTCGTTCCACATTGTTGGTATTCTACTGCGGTTTTCCGTTGACACCCTCTCCGTAGACTCTTGTGGGTGCAACTACATCCAAAGTCCACCCACGAAGGGCTACGTTCGCGGCGGGAGTTGGACAGATTGTCCGCCACCGGTACCAACCTGATGTTGATGAGGTTGTGGCGTACTTGCAGCGTGAGAATCGGGGGTTGTCGAAGGTAGACGCGGAGGTACTGGCTAAAAAGAGAGCATGGTCAGCTTGCGTGAGGACTATTTCCCGACCAGCCGACGTAGTGGAGAAGGAGTTGGTGCAGTTCGTGCAGGCGCACGCAAAGATGGATGCCGACGATGTCGCGAGGGGGGGAATTCCGCTGCTGCGCCCGGATGCGCCCCCTGGAAAATCAGGTCCAACAGGCGCGATGGCAGCGCTCGAGAAAATGCGCAGGTGCCTCAGGAAAGGATGCGCGCAAGACCCGTTGGGTGTGGATGACATGTGAGGAAACCTTGCAAGTACGACGTTAACGCCTTTTTTGCTGGTCCTTGTTTGACTGCTGCTTGCTGCTACGTTTCGCGAGTGTGTTGTTCATGTCTTCTCCACTCGTGTCGCCATTGTCCCTACTGTACGCAGGTACATACCTCGTGGGAGGGGGCCGAAGACAAACCTCATGAGGTGGTCCAAGAAAGGTGGAACTGGGAAGAACGAGAATTTCCACGGCGGCATCAATCGTCTGGTCGCAGGCGTGGCTCGCATCGGTGTGGAGGCGTGCGACGCGAGGCTTCTGCAACGTGTTTGTCGTCACAACCTAGACATGGACCGCAAGCTTGGCAACACCAGCAAGCAGTCAACTCGTTGGCCTTGGAGGGAGCGCGTGGTGAACAAAGCGGCCTCGGGCATCCTCGCTTCGCTCCCGTTCCCGAAGGCGCCTCCCGACCCGAAAGTAAGCCCCATCCGTAGCTGTAGCTGTAGATGCAAGCTTGCTTTTTGTGGTGGTTGTCGTCGATGTACCTTGCCGTGCACTTTCGATGCTGTACACAGCACGACGTATGTGATGCCAACTCCCTGCTGTTCGTGTGCCGGTGTCAGATCCCAACGAAGGACTTGGAACCGATGGGGTTCGAGTTCCACACCGCCAGGAAAGCTGCCGGTCGACGAGAAGCCATGAATGCCGCAACGAGGATAGTTGCAGAGCGTCGGGGCAACAACCCCCGCTCTTCGCCGTCGATGACGGCAGGAAGTGCCGCAAGGGAGGGGCCGGAGACGGCGCCGTTGCCACTACCGACAGCAGGAGGCCGGATTGGAACGGCGGCGGCTGGGGCGGCGGGGCCTGCGGAGGGGCCTCCGGCAGACGGGGCGGCAGGGCCGGGGCCGTGGCCTGCGGCGGGTGCGGGCGCGGCGCCGGGGGATTCGCCCTCGCCATCATCGACGCAAGAAGGCCGGGTGGGAACGGCGGTGCCGGGTGCGGGCGCGGTGCTGGGTGCGGGTGCGGCGCCGTTGCCGACCATGACAACGACGGGTGCCGCTTTCGCCAACTATGGGGGGGCGCGCAAGCTACATAGTAAACGTCCCACCATCGAGGGACAGAAGTCTGTCACCCCGACAACCGACGGCGAGCTGGATGCCTTTGCCCGTTGTCTTGCGACAGCAAGGGCTCAAGGCCGAGGGGAGGTGATGGAGGAGACGGCGCGACTGTACAACACAGAGTTTTTCACCCAGCAGCTTGACCGGGACGCGCCAATAATTCTCCGTGGACCCACTTCAGCGCAAAAGCTGCGAAAAAAATCAACGACAACGGCCACGGCTAAGAGGGCCCGACAGGTCTCCGCAGACTTCGCAGCTGTGCAATCGGCGGGCAGAACGGCGTCGTCTTGTTCGACCTCTCCTTCGAACTCTTCTTCGACCACGTCGAGATCAAAGCGCCGTCGTGACGTCAGACCTGACAGGGAAAATGCCGTTGCTAGAGTCGCGAACAGGGTTCCTCTGACGATAGAAGAAATAGAGACACTTCCCGACGCCGTGGCTATTCCTTACCTCTCGGATATGGATCAGCCGACGTCAGGCAGGGTTGCTGCCAAACGCGAGAGGTTGAAGAGCTACTTCCGAAACCACAACCTCACATCGTACACACCTGTGGGCGGGGCAAACAAGAAGGCCGCGGGTGCGGCAGTTACAGGACCTCCTAGTGGGCACCGGGCGATCTAGAATGGCTGGGGTGTAGAATTCTGTTTCTGGTGGCAAGGGCGGGCTTTCTCATTCTGCACGAATGTTGTGTGTTTCACTGCTGCTCCTTCACGTAATATTATTGCGGTTGCCAAACCGGCGTGTTGTGGGGGAGGTAAAGTGTGCAACCTCGAAATCAGATGCGCCCATACTGCATTTGTGTGCTAACCACAGTGTATCAGGTACATGTGTGCTACATAGGCACACCTACATGTTCGCCGATCAGTCCTCTTCTGCTCATTACATGCCGTGGTTCCCCGCCATGCGGCGATGACGCATGTTCAAGAGACACACATCATGCACTCCGGGTTGTTTTTGCCGGCGCCAAGTACGATCGGCACGCCTCACCTACAGCTGGTTAGATATATTTCCTCTGGCAGCATCACGTAAAGCTCTGTGTGTGTGAATAAGCGCGCACACGCCCGTCAACGAGTGCTGTAACTTCGAGAAACCGACGGTCGTGCCCAGTCTACCCGAGGGAAAATACCCACATCAACGGCATGGCACCATCTACTGAGCACAAGCGCTCCTGTATTGTTCAATTGTCACCCACGCAGCAGCGGTACACAGCCATCGACGGCAGCACACAGCCATCGGCACACAGGCACACACCACACAAGCGCACAAGCGGCAGCCGTTGCGTTTTTTTATGCTTATATCATATCTGCGATAATTGCGGAGAGATTTCAACCAACTCTTTCGGCGATTTTATGCGGCGAGATAGAGTGTTTTTTTTTTTGGCCCCAAATTTCGGGGCATGGGGGTGGCCCCGAAACTACTTGAAAAAAGACTTTGGGGCGGATGCGCAGTCGCCGATTTAACGGCTGGGCACTCCCTGCTCTTCCCCCCCAACCGGATGTGAGAGATAACAAGCATCTAAGCATCAAGCACTACAGTCTCTACAAAGACAACGAGGGCATACCAATTAGGGTTGACGAATACCGTCCGGTCGCCTAGGCAAGTGACTCGAGCTCACTACGAGGTTGAAACCGCCGAAAAAGCGGCGAGATTAAGTTGGTCACGATGAGCGACGAGCGTCCCCGATTTCGAAAGACCGCTTTTCGAATCAACGGCGCAGGCGGACACCTCCTTCTCGGCATTATTTCTATACCATTTGTTTGAGCTGCAACTACATTTGAGTACATGCATAATCCGGAGAGTTTGTGTGGAGTGCGAACGAAATAATATTTAAAAATTTGCCAACAAGGCTTGACAAGGCAAGGTACTACATCAACTACGTTGACTACAACATATTCTACACGTATTACCTCCTTGAACAACCTCTACTTGCCTCCATAACAGCAACCACGCACGTGCGGTTTACATGTATCGCTTCCACACTGACTGGCTTGCTGACCACCTACCGGCTACAACAAGGCCACAAGGCTCAGAATTGCATACATTGTTTTGAGAAACAAAATATTTTGTTTTCGGCCGGGTGGGTCTCTGAAGAAATTGTTTTTCGTGCGCCCTTGTGTAGTCTACATTGCTCTTCCTCCAATTTGGAGTAGACCTGGGCTTGTGGCGCCTCTTCTCGGGGCATTGCGTATCCACGGGCTGGAGATAGCCTATGAACGCAACAAAGGAAGATGCAAACTATCGCGGGTGTTTTAACCCGCACCTACCTACTGCTGTTTTTGGTGGAAAGAGCGCGATGATAGCTCGGGTGTGGTAACCCGTGTTAGTCGTGCGGCGTGCTAGCCGTGGACAGTATATACAGGGCGTGGTAGCCCGGGGCGTGGTAGCCGGTGGCGTGGTAGCCAGGTAGCAACGCGGCGTGGCGTGGTACTGTAGCCGGGAAAAGGGACACTGATTTTTTCAAGCGATTCGAGACCACAACCAAACTCCGCTCCTATCCGTTGCAGACACACAACTTAGTCTATAGATACCCAGAAACCATCACATGTGGCAAAGATGGCACCACAAATCCCAATCCATCACAACTGTAAAACCCCCATATTCCCCGCCCCATCAGCTCGGCACGTTCCTTGATTGCAACAATCTGCCATACGTATGTATCAACGCAGTGAAAAAAATAACCAACATGGGAACAACGAAGTTTGATTACCCGAAATTCATTTTGTTAGAGTGTTTCGGAAGATTTGCCGGAAAAGTTCACTTTCACTTTTATTGGGAACCGTTCCTGGGAAAGTTCTTGTTCACACAAAAGTTCATTTGTAGGGCAAAAAATATATATATAGATGACGTGGACAGTCGTCTCGTGGTGATTGGTGTAGGTCTCGCCGCATCTAGGCGCGGCGGAATACAGGTTAGGCCGCGTGTTTTTTTCAATATCACAATATCACACACCCGAGGCCTGTCCTCCATCGGCCGTTTTGCTTGGATGACGGAGAATAAGAAGGTAGAATTACTTGAAATTAGTATAGAAATAAAGTTTGTGTATCTAAATCGAAAATAAAACGGCCGATGGAGGACAGGCCTACCACACCCGACTCGAGTGCACCCGAGAGGCCGACAGGCGGGACACATCCCAATGGTCGCACCGAGAGCACGCTGCCGGCGTCACCAGCGCCCACAGACTTCCCCAGGGCCTCCCACCATGTCCCGCCTAGTCTACGCATCCGAGATCGAATTGCTCGCAAGAAGCGAGCACTGCTGCCCATGCAGTGGCAGCAGTCCTATAGCCTCTACACCAGCATGTGGTTCGCTTCCCACTTCGCGGTCATCTACACTCTGGGTCGCCTGGCCATCGATGATATCCCGACCGGTGCTGCACGGAGGCACGTAGACAACTTCTTCAGCCCTCAGGATTGCGTGGAGTTTATGAGGTTTACGCGAGACCAGGTAATTCTATCTATTGAGTGACGTTGGTAGCGCTGGTGCTGTGTTGCTGCTGTGTGCCTGCTGTGTGTGCCTGCTGCTGTCGGGAGTGGACAAAGAAAGACAGACAGACCATGACCGCACCCAAAAGACCGCGAGTTGTGCTGTGACGAGAGCGACACCCGAAGGCACGAAATGCACACAGCAAGGTTGAGTGTTTTGTTAACGAACGGCTACTGCATGTATTTTGACAAACACTATCATGCTGCTTCGGATCTTTTTGTGCGGCAGATCGTACTCATGCTGGAACTGCTCATGGTGCCTGCCATCATTCGGACAGAGTGTGGCTTTGTGGTGGGCGGACGAGAGGCTCTTTGCGTGCTGCTGTACCGACTTGCGTTCCCGTGCTGTTTGAAGGACATGCGTCTGGATTTCGGCCTGAGCGAATCCTGTATCTGCGAGACTTTCAACTGGATGCTACACTTCATGGATTTCAAGTGGGGGTTCCTCCTCTCGCTGGACGTTCAACGGCTGGTACCAAAGCTTCGTACTTTTGCGGAGGCAGTTTACAACAAAGGTTGTCCCCTGACACACTGTTGGGCCTTCATCGACGGAACTGTGCGCGGTATTGCAAGGTATGATCCGGAAGCCGTGCCCCCGTTGATGGGTGGTAGTTGTGAAAAAGCACTTGGGTGAAACGGCGTCATGTATGTCCCGCTACGTTTGTATGTCTACTTTGGCGAACAGTAGCTAACCACAACAACCACTCGTACGGGTTCACTTGAACGAATAAGGAGCAAGGTGGGTAACATCGACCCCTAGACTACAGGGAAGATTCCAGAGGTGCTTTTGCCAACACGACGCAAGAAAATGCACTCCGCTATATGCGGCAAACCTCACGAAAACATTGTCGGATGCAAGAAAACAGATCGACCACCACGTGCGTCATGTTGTCGACGATGTTTGCGTCTCAGGCCTATACGCAACAAGCGCTTTTTCTACAACGGGTACAAGAGGAAGCACGCTATCAAGTTCCAAGGAGTCGTGACGCCAGACGGGCTGTTTGTTGACCTGTACGACGCAGAGGTTGGAACGACGCACGACGGCTACTTGCTTGCGGAGTCTACACTACTTGAGAAGCTACAGACCCACATGAACAGCCCTTCAGGCCACCCGTATTGCGTGTATGGTGATCCAGCGTACGGTCAGACCGATCACATACAGTGCCCTTTTAGTGCATCTGTCAATGGCCCCCTTACGCCCGCGATGAGAAAATTTAACAAGAGCATGAGCCAATGCCGAGTGACGGTCGAATGGGGGTTCAAGGAGATGACTAGCAAGTGGGCCTTCGTTGACATGAAGTGCCAGCAGAAGTTCCTGCTGAGCCCTGTAGCGACGCAGTACAAGGTAGCAACACTGTTGTCAAACTTCCACTCCTGCCTGAACGGCGGCAACCAGATTTCACAGTACTTTGGAGTAGAGCCTCCCACGCTGGAAGAGTACCTCAAGGTGTAAGCCTCAGCGGTTTGTCAAGGAAATATCTTGGTCCAATCGTACTTATGGTAGACAGGAAACTTGTTTGTGCCGAAAGGTTACGGCTTGCAATGGGGGAAGTTGCAGATGGGGATGTAGTATTTCTTCCAATCAGGAGAGGACCTGTACTACCTGGCCAGTAGGTAAAGAAGGAAGTTTCCGCACGAGGGCTAGGCAGTGTGAGAATTGTCACCACCAAAGATCCCCAAAGGTGGTTTAGTTCCTATTCCACCGAGTGCTTCTGTGTTTGTTGGACAGCTGAGATGACGTCTGGCCTTTGCATCTGTTTCGTGCGGGGCTGGTTGCACGATGCACGATATAATTCGGGAGTACTGCAAGTGGTACTATTTCCTTTCTTTGGCTGCCCCTTAGCCGTTCCACCTCCTTCCCCACCCTCTGTGGAACTTCGACTCAACACGCCAACTCCAGTCGACGTCGTTTTTATTTTTCAAGCACGCGCTCTCTCTCCGTTCAACCAACCAAAAAAAAAACGAGGCACATGCGTGCACGGTGCAACACTTGACTTCTCTTCCTCAACATGTACTCACTACCCCCGGCCCCCCCGGCAACGCCGTGTTTTTTTTGGTCAAGCACGCGCTCCCTCTCCGTTCAACCAACCAAAAAATACGAGGCATGCGTGCACCGTGTAACAGCACCCCCACTTCCCTCTCCCGAAAAAAATCCACCCACCTCTCCTCTCCCCCCACACCCCACAGCAACCGTCTCCGGACCTTAAGACTCTGCCTGGTGCTTCGCTAGCTGTGCCTGGTACTGCGCTAGCTCCAGCTGCATCTTCAACTTCTTTAGTTCGAAGTCCTGTAGGTCCTGCCGCTCCCGCCTCTCGTCGTCCCGCTCGTCCTTCCGCGCCTTCCTCTCCCGGTCCCACTGCTCTTGGCGGAGTTCCCTCTCCCTCTCCCTCTCCTCCTTACGCTGCTGCTCGGCAAAGTCCCTGTCCTCCTTGCGCACTTGCGCAGCCTCCTTCTTCTCGTCCGAACGCCTACGGTCCTTGAACTCTTCCCGCTGCAACTGGAGCTCAAAAGCCTTATCCTGCTTCTGCGACGCCTCCCTCATCATCCTGCGGGGTTCAGTCAAGACAACAGGCGGAGAGGGACAGACGAGAGAGGCACAGACGAGACAACTGTTAGTCGGTATAAAGAGGCACAGCTATCTCAACGTACAAGTACCGACAATTCAGACGTCATCGAGCTTGCATCGAGCTTGGGTGCCAACCAAGCGACCATCCAACTGCCGTTCAAGTCGATCCGTAATTTACGTTCACCTCATGCCAACACGAAAGCCAACGTGGGAGCTCAAAGGCCGTGTCCCGACCCCAGGACATGTGCTGAAAAACAGTTGCAAAAATCATGTCTCATCAGTCATTTACTGAAATCACTGACATCCCACAAAGACAGTCCTCGTCCATACTTACTGCAGAAGGCCATCCTCGCTCGCACGGTTGGTCGTGTTCCGTGTCTTCCTGCTGCTCTTCGGGGCACGCTTCCCACCTCCGCCGGCTTGTCCATCGCCCGACAAGTCAAACACGTCACTGCTGCCGCTGCTGCTGGCGCTGCTTGGATGCTCCGGTGAGGTGCCATTGTTGGGTTTCACGGTGCCGTACACAAGCAGGGTGGCCAGCTTCTCAGATAGCCCGTCTAACTCCTCCTCCGTTGGACACCCAGGATCCCCTACTGTCCACCCGTCGGTGTACACGGAGACGCGATCACATGCCATGAACAACTGATAGTCGGCGCCGTACTTATCACACAACTCCTTCACCATATACGCGTCAAAACCACTGATTTCGAAGCCGGCTCCCTTAACAACGCTGAAATCCTGCAGCGATAGGTTTCCCCATGGGGCTCGCAGCCTGTTACCGACCGCCTGCTCGAGGATACAGACCGCGGTCTCCAAAGGAAGTTGTTCTTGAGTAAATCCCTTGGTGAGGACGAGGTCCACCTGCTCCGTCGTCGCTCCTGTGATGTAGGCCAGATCAACCTCATTTTGCGCGCTGAGCTTCTTTTGGATGTCCGCGCCGAGCGGGGGCAACTTCCTTGCAGCCCCTCCCCCCTCGCTTGCCCGCTGGCTACCCGCCGTTGAGAGCTCGCGTTGAAGAACTTTGGCACGCGCGCGTTCGTCGCTGGCGTGGGCCGCCCCGAATGATGTCGAGCCTGCCCCTGGTGCGCAACGCCTTTCGGCGTTCTGCTTCTCCGCGAGGCCCGCCGCCCTGATGTTGGCGAGCTTCTCTTTCTCAATCCTCTTCTCAGCCCTCAATCCAGCTTTCGCGTCCACGATCGCACCCAGCACTTTTTCCTGCATGAGCGCCAAGACACAGGCATCGCGACGTGTAGGCCGGACGACGGTAATCACCAACCCTTCTCATACCTGAAGTGTACTTCTCCAACATGCGGATAAGCCAATTCTCGAATGTAAATGCCACCACTCAAACACGAACCGTCAAGGGAAAAAAACAATCTGGCTAAACTCGCTTGTGTTGTCTGCGAACGGTCCTGTCTGAGTCTCGGAATGGTTTCGGGCGCCGCCGGTGCAGACAACGCCAACACGTCACGACGTAGGTGTGCTCTAGCACTTGCCGTCCTGTTGTTTACATATATCATCGTGCACCCGAACGAGATCGAAACTTGTTGCCAACCCATGCTCTTCTTGGCCTTCCCGCGACAGGGCATTGTGGGGGCGGGGAGCACAATCGAAGTCAACCAATCTTACAGGAGTTTCGAGGCGCCAATGATAGCGACGAACACATGTCCGCGGGTTGGTGATGTGAGCGTGGGGGGGGGGAGGGGCTTGCTGTACCGACATAGAAATTCCATTCAGGGCATTCGCTGTTGGTACAATAGGCATCACGAGGTTGTCCTATCGCTCACGCCTCTCACCAGCTTAATCTCATCTTCGCCAAGGTTTTCCGAGCCGTCATCCCCCCCGCCGGTCGTGGCCGCGGCCTTATTCTCTGCTCCAGTCTTCTCGGAAACCATGGCGGTGAATTTGGAGATGATCGCAGTGTCACTGATCCCCTCGAAGATGTTGTTCCACGGACCTTCTCCCCGTATCTCCTTGTCGGTCTTCAGCCACTGCTGCGGCACCGTTTCCTTGCGACCCCTAACCTGCCAGCATTGAAACTTGAGCCCTGCGTCAAACATGACAAAGCGCCGGAGAAAAAAAACAGGACGCGGAGACATGCGCAAAGATTTGAGACGCTCTTGGTTATTTTTTCACAGTTGCGCATGATGGCCGAGCAACACTGCTGCATGCTAACAAGATAGCAGATGGCAGCAACCGGGGGGGTGTAACGAAACCCATGGTGCATGGCAGATGATGTGGATGTGCAATATGTGTGTCTCACTCAACAGGAGGGCGCGCGCGATTTTTGATTTTTGAAATGCGGATCAAACCAGTCACCTATCCGTACTACATGCCTGGTACCACTCACGTACGCTGGTAAGCTATCCATCAAGGGACAATCAAAGGACGTGCTACAACTGCTTGGCTGCGTCCCGCATGTGGGAGTATGGCGGTGTTGAGCCTAACTATGTTGATGGGATGCGGCGGCCGGGCGTGTCTTCTTCTTGCTCTCGTGCGATTGTGTGTACACATGGACAAAGTTGAGTTGTGAGTTGCGCGCGCGATCGGGTCATCGGGTACTGCCTGAATGAGATGAGTTGGGATGATACTGCTGCATGAGATTGTATTGCCAATGTGTAGTTGCGGGGCAAGCGTTCAGAGAGCAGCTTGTTATGTATGTACCTACATGTATGTTGACCTTGTTTTAAGGATGTATCGCGATACGGGGCATCGCAACAACGCGACTTTTTTCATTCTTGCATGCGTATTGTGCCAAGAACCCCTCCGGGAATTCTACTCTGTTGTGATACCAGTCGCTTCACGGCAACAAACGGTTTTTCAAGTTCACGCGGTTCTTCGAAATCAATGGTGTCGACGCAGAGGCTCTCTCGTGTTGACCATATTCATTTGTGACACGAATATACTTCTGCATAGCATGTGGAATCCTGTACGCAGCAGTTTGCAGAGAATGGACTGATGGGTTTGAGCTCTGGTCCCGCGCTCGTTGCTGTTTGTTTCGATACTTCTGCAGTGGGGTCACAACGGCAATGTCAGTACCGAAGGCAGCGGTGAAGGCAGTCAAGGTTGGGACAAATTTGGCGGAAGAAATGGTCGGAACGGAATTTGCGCTTGCCGACGACGCGGCCCGCGCCGGTCAAGAGGGGG